CTCACGACACAGTGGAATGCAAATCGAAAATTCAGAACAAAATCCCAGTTATTCCACGGTGCGTCAATTGCCATGGCAGTCACCACGCCTGGAATGCCAATTGCCCACAGCGTCCTGGCACTCGCCCGGGGAAAACTTACCTTGTACCACCGCCCTCGTCTCTGACGAAGCCCCTGTCAACCAAACCTCAATCCTATCCACCACCGCCTCTTCCATCCACCAAGGATTTCCCATTGATCTCCTCTCCTCTACCACCCCCTCCATCACCCCTACCACCCATCCTTTCTCCCCTCCCTCCCTCTCCCTACCGTTCTTGGAACAAGGTCGTTGCCGGCCCTGCCACACAGTCACCACCATCTCCTGCCCACCCGGACCCCCGCTGTCTCTCACCAGCACCACCACCTCTTACTCAACTGAACCCTCACCGTCCCTCTCCGTCGCTACCACCGCCACATGCCCAGTCGGGCCCTCGGCAATCCTCGCCGCCACCTCCAGCTCATGCACAGGTACACCAAGTTGGTTCTATGGAAACAATCACTCTCCGTCTGGATCGCCACTCCAAGCAAATCAACCTTCTCTCAGCCCAACTCGACTTGTTTGTGAAAACAATTGCGACATTGCAGAAGCAACAACAACTCATTCTGGACACCCTGACCCAACAGGGGCGCACTTTGCAAGCCCTGATAACCCGCCTCCTTCCATCTCCCGAGATGGAGGATCCATCCCTCGCTCTCCCACTCCTCCCTCTCCATTTCTCTCAACAGAATTTGGTACCTCCTCTGGAGCCCTATCTAGCCCCTCCGACTCATCTCACACCGGAGGCCGTTCCCTCCTCTTCTTACAATGGAACATCCAGGGACTTAGACCTCGCCGGACAGACCTCGCCCAGTTTGTGCTCTCCCATCAAGTAGATGTTGCTCTACTTCAGGAAACCATCACAGACGATGTTACTCCACTCCGCCTCTCTGGCTATTCTGTTTACACCCTGCCTCGGTACCGTGGGCAGGCTCGTGGCCTCCTCACCCTTGTGCGTAACACCATTCCATCTGTTCGTCTCCCTTCACCTGACTCACATGGACCCCCGTCTGAATTACTTTCTGTCTCCCTTACTCTTGGTGACCGGACCCTTCGTGTAGTCAATGTTCATTTCAAGAGTGATTCTCTGGACCCCCAGGTTCTTCACGACCTCCATGATGGGGTTCCCACTATTGTTCTTGGCGACTTTAATGCCCGCCATCCCACTCTTACTCCGGATCATCCCACTCCATGTACCCTTAATGGATCACATCTCTCACAGTTTCTTAATGGGGATGATGATGTTCGCTTTCTTTGTCCTGACGATCCTACTCGCCTCCCCCATAGTTTCCTTGATGTTGGCTTACTATTGAACGGTCATACTTCCTTTCATCCTACCGTCTGCACCGAGCCTGCTCTGTATAGTGACCATCTTGCCGTTACTACCCATCTCAGGCTCTCCTTCTCTGCCCCGACATCAACTCCTTATCGATCCCCTCGCCTTCGTCTCACACAAGATGCTGTTCCTTCCTTTACCCAATACCTTTCTACCTGGGCGGATTCCTATGTTGTCCCTCAGTCCCTTGACTCTTACAGCGCTGATTTTGTTGATGCCGTGTATGACTCTGTCAATCGCGCTACCCCTCCACGCCCTCCCCGTCACCCCAGAAGTGCCACCAACTACTGGTATCGTATCCCTGCCATGAGACATCTCCGGCAGGTAACCCGTGATCTCCACTCTGCCATACGGAGGTCTCGGTCTCCAGAGGACTGGGAAGACTTCAAAAATTGGTGCTCCTTTGCAACTCAGGAGCGCCGTCGGATACGTGAGGCGGACTGGCTATCCTTCACGGGATCTCTATCGTTCCAGTCGTCACCCTCTTATGTATGGAATCGGATTAATGCTATACGGGGTACTCGACGGAGGCCTCCTCCCCACCCTGACCCGCCTCCCTTGCCTGCTCTTTAATGGAGGACTGGGCACAAGCTTCCTCCCCTGAGGCACTTCCAGATCCAATGCAGGAGGCAGTGCAGGCCCGCATCGATGCGTCTGAGCCTGTTGTTCGTGCTGCTCTTACCTCCCCTGCCCCCACTGATCATCCCATCACACAGTTCGAGCTTGACAGTGCTCGTCGCTCTAGAAAAGACACCTCTCCTGGGGATGATCAGATAACCTACTCCGTCCTCAACGCCTGTACTAATATTCCTAACGGCCCCTTGCTTGCTCTCTACAATATGTCTTATGAACATGGGGTTCTCCCGTCCAACTGGAAAAATGCCACTATTATCCCCATCCCTAAGCCGGGAGATCCTGGGAAATATCGACCCATTAGTCTTACCTCCTGTGTTTGCAAGATGATGGAGAGGGTACTCCATCGTCGCCTTCTTCACACCATAGGCGGCTTCCACAACTCCCTCAATGGTTTCATTCAACATCGCAGCACAGCACACTCCATTGCTTCCTTTTATTGCAATCAGACTGCCCGCGTCTCCGTCTTCCTTGATATCAAGGGAGCCTTTGATACGGCTCAGCCTGCCCTCATTTTAGCTGAACTTGCACGGTTAGGGGTTAAAGGGAGACTTCTACAATGGATCGCCTCTTACCTCACTGGACGTCAGGCCCGGGTTCGCGTTGAAGGCTCTATGTCTCCTGTTCAAGAAATGAACCTCGGCACCCCTCAAGGTGGAGTCCTGAGTCCCACCTTGTTTAACACTCTCATGCACTCCATTGCATCACTCCCGTGGCCGACAGAAGTTGTCCACTCAGGATATGCCGACGATGTCCTCCTCCAAGCCCCTGACTACCTCAGCATGCAGGAAGCCCTTGATCTGGTCTCCAGAGAGTGTGATTCACTTGGTTTCCTTCTTTCAACTGCGAAAACAAAAGCCATGTGGCACGGTCGTGTTGTACCTCCACCCCTTTTCTTATCAGGAACGCCCTTGGACTGGGTTAATGAGACAAAATACCTGGGTGTGTATGTAACTCGCACACGTTGTCAGATCCCTGAAGTCCGCTATCTTCGAGACATATGTTTTCGGCGTCTCGCTCCCCTCTCTACCATGTGCAGGGGTTCCCTTGGTGCCAGCATCCCTGTACTTCTCACCATGTACAAGTCTTTTGTCCGTTCCTGTGTCGACTACGCCGCCCCTGCCCTCGTCAACATTAGTCGGACTGCTGTCAACCGTCTCGAAGTTATCCAGAGGAAAGCTGCTCGTATCATCCTTGGGGCTCCTCAGTGGACACGCTCTACTTCTCTATATAACGAACTTGGTCTTTCCCCCTTACAGGATCGTGTCCAGGAGTTTTACCTAAAAACTGCCGTCTCCATTCTACGGGATCCTAGGGGCAACTATGTCCAAACCAACTTGACTACTGCTGTTCGAGACCGACCTCCATCTAGAAGACAGTGGCGAGGGTCACTCATCCGAGCCCTTCAGGAACATGACCTCCTGCCTGATATTGTTGTCACCCCTGCTGTTGGTTCGTCTCCTTCTCCCTGGCTGGATTTTCAACCTGAAGTGATTGCCCTCGGTGGACCGCTCCCGAAATCCCAGGTGAACCCTGTTATTCTCTGCAAATACCACCTCTCCAGGATCGCTCACTGGTCCCCAGGTAGGGTCGTCCTCTACACTGATGGTTCTGTTGACCCCGCTACAGGTAGGGCCGGGGCTGGTGTCTACATCTCCCGTCCTCATGCCCCTGAGCCTATCAAACTGTCTCTCAGAGTTTCTGACGGGGCATCCTCCACTCAGGCTGAACTAATAGCCCTCCTTGCTGCCCTTCTCGCTGAGGAAGAAGCAGATGGTTTCTGCCCCTTGCTTGTCTGCTGCGATTCCAGGTCTGCTCTCGACGGGATCGCATTTGGATCTGGGGAAAATAAGGACCTCATCCTCCGAATACGAGGGTTAACATCCACACTTCAGGATGAAGGCCGTCCTGTGACATTCCTATGGATACCTAGTCATGTCGGTATCTTGGGGAATGAGGCAGCAGATGACCTTGCCAAGACTGGCTGCAACAAGGCCACACCTGACTACGTTGTTCCTCGAACATTCTTACAGATTAGGACCCAAATCCGCCGCAAACAGAGAGAAGCTCGGGAAGCAGCCATCCCCCTGGACTCCCCGCCCACATGGTACGATGTCCTCCGTAAACTTCCTGACTTCTCATACGTCTACGGGAAAGGGTCGCGGAAGGGGGACGTGATTGCTGCCCGTATCATCATTGGGTATGACTTTGCTTGGGAGATTGGTATCCCCACATCCCCTGAGCAACGCTCTTGTGCGTTATGCAGAAGACCCGACAGCCGCACCCTTATTCACTACCTCCTAAGATGTCCCCACACACAACGCTTCCGTGACGCCTGCTGGACCACCACTCCACGACCCCCTGACGGAGACACGATGATCCTCCCAATACTGGCCAGATATTTTGTAAATAATATTAATTATGTGTTAAAGGAACATCCTTCCTTCCTTAGGCTTTAGTAAGCCCCTTTATAATATTTATACTGTATATACTTTTCACACTTGCCAGATGATTCTGGTGTCATTGTACAGGGGTACCTAGTAACAGCACTAGGATCCCGCTTCCTCTATCAAGGAATAAACAATTGAAATTGAAATTGAAAGATTATTCGAACACTGCTGGAGAAAGCTGGCAACTCATGGCAGTTTCTTTACTATAGTACGTTGTATAATATAATTCGAAACAACAAAGCCCAACCAGTAAATTAAGCAACGGGGAACTAAGTAAACAATCACCGATCACTTTTACATTTATTCATAATTTTTGCGACGTACTATAGTAAACAAACGGCCTTGAGTTGCCGGTATTCTCCAGCAGTGTTCGAAGAATCTTGAACGAGACTGTACAGTATGTTCATGTGAAGGCAACTGTACATTCATGAGCAGCTATGGTTTAAAAGTTATAAAACGATGAAGGCGGTACAAGCACATGAAGCATATTCCAAACTGTTACTTACCTGGCATGGTTTCGTCGTCATCCCATCCCTTCCAAGCTTCTGTAGGGATTATTGCCTCCGAATAAATACTGCTCTCAGGATGAGTGTGTTGCTGGTAATTGGAAAGTGATTGCATATCGGTGGAGGGAAAGGTGGAGGCAGGGTTGGTGGGCAAGGACTTGGTGGCAGACATGGTGGGTAGATGTGAAGATGATTGTGACTTCACATCCCCACTTTTGCCTGACGAGGTTGTAGGCTGACCCACCACTGACAAGGATGGTGGCTTTGGAGAATGTGCGTCACAGTTGTTAGTGGTAGAGATTCGAGGGGGCTTACCCGGGTTTCCAGACAAGGAATTCTCCTGTATGAAAGGACAATCTAGATTACTCAGTGTCATTGTTCTGTATCATCCAAGCAACTACTCCCACTGATGTTATTTACTTATTAACCTTCGAGCAACTATTCCCAATGGTGTTATTGCTAAAACGACCAACTTACTATAAGTAACTGAAGCATATTTCGTCATTATAATTTTAGATAATTACTTGTGAAGTGTGACAGCCGACTAAACTACAAATTCGGACAAAGTCTCTGTGTTTCAGTTATGAAATCTTTCAAGAAATGGTAGTGGGCATTTATGTACAATGAAAATAGTTGTAGTGAGAGAAGCGTTACATAACTTACACAACGCGAAAGAATACTCAAAGTTTATAAGGAGAAAATGTTGTACTTTGACCGAATGTTTGAGAATGGGAAGATAGCGGTAGAGTTCGTTTGAAATAGAGGGCTGTAGATGCCAACCCTTAATTGATTAAACAATTAAACACTTTTTGTCTGTCCGTAATGCATCAATGCATCAATAGACTCTATAAGAAGTGAGTATATATACTCAGCAAGTCATATTAAAATCATCTGGTCAAAAAGACACGTATAAAAATGGGGTCTCTAACTTAAGAGAAAAATAAACCCATAAATTTATTTTTGCGTACTGCATTCAAATTTCATAGATGTAAAAACCACGTATTAGGGGCTGATGAATTAGTAATAAAAACATAACTTTCAATTGTAAATATACAATTTTTAGAGCGTATTGATTTTGATAAAGTTGCTTGATAAAAAAAAATCTAATTTACGAAAATTACGTTTTATCTTAAGTATTTTTTGAAGCTCACGAGCAATTATTAGATCTTATTTCTTTGTAAATCCAAATTATAAGTATTAGAAGGCGATTCCTTAAAACAAAAAGTATTATAAATTAGGCGTTGCTATACATAAAGAAATGCATTTTTTTTTCCTTTTGATTTTATTTGTCTCCTCGTGATATTCAGGCGTCTATACTAGGGCCTACAGTTTTACTATCGTTAACATAAGAAAATAATTCATACCTTAAAGCCAGGTCGTGTGACATTGCCTATGCTGGGTGGCTGGGGTATTAAGTCATTCACAGCCTCATAGATGTGTCCTGAGAAGAGGAGGGACTCGGGCTCAGGTTCGGAGGGCGCCGCTATCCGACCTGGGGGGAGGGCTGTCCCCTGACTTTTACTGGCAATATGACGACACACCTCCTTCTCCTTCATGATCAGCGAATAGATATTCTTTCCCTGGAAATCAGTCACATTACAGACCCAGAGATATGGTTTTAAAAGTAATAAGTTTAAAAAAATAAAAGCAAAAAAAAAAAAATAAATAAATAAATAAATAAATAAATAAATAAATAAATAAATAAATAAATAAATAAATAAATAAATAAATAAATAAATATATATATATATATATATATATATATATATATATATATATATATATATATATATATATATATATATATATATATATATATATATATATATATATATATATATATGTGTGTGTGTGTGTGTAAAAGGTCCGAATATTCCTATTTATATTTTATTTAAAGTGGATGGTATTGCAGTAGAAGCGCCCCTCAGAATACCGAACCAGCGCAAACAAAATTAATATTAAATTACTTACATAGATTGAACTGGTCAGTCGTGATTCAGTATAAAGAGACACTCTTGAAAAATGATAACACTTGTATTAGATAGATTGCACCCCCGTACAACACTAAGAAAATATATTAATTGCACAACAGACACTAGATTAATTTCTCCGCTTGTTTTACATCGCACAATAATTAAATAAAAAGAAGAGATATAAATGGCACCGTGAAAAATAGTACAACAAAATATAAAAATATATTAACGGCACCCTAGGAAATACATTTAGGACGTCAGACAAACTAATAGTAATCCATTAGGAATAGAAATCCTGATTAAGTCATACTACACAAGAACATGGATCAATCATAGCCTGTCAGGAATGACCCACAAAATACTATTAATTCTAACTATCTTAAATGCACAGAACCCGAAGGTTGTAACTACCAATCTGCCCAGCGGCAGGCACCCACAGGAGAACTCGAACAGTGTCTTTTTTAACCGAGAAAATCGCTCATGACCCATGAGGCAGGCGGGCGTTCCGCTGATTTTTTTGCTCTACTTCTAGGTTCATGAGTCATGAGTGTATTTCTCCACCAACACCCGCAACATGCTTCTCAACATTTGTTCAGAATACACCGTACTTCCCAGCACTACAGCCCAAACAATTTTTTAAGAGGAACTCATACATCCCGCGTGTGCGATCAACCATAAGGTCCTTACACCAGGACTCGGTTAAACACCCCAACCACACCCAATGCTGGGGAGGTGAAAGTTCTTAATAACTACTAGCACCATGGATAGTTATGGGTCCCAGAGTGTGACCTTCCATTCACTCAGTCTCCACCCAGAGCTGGCTTACTCCCACTTCTTTACAGAAGGGCAAACAGCTACCGCCAATCGAGCCTAGGTAGGCTATTGTTCCCGTTGATGAATTTTCCTTAGATGATTAGGTGTTGTATGCGTCTATCTGGAGAGATCCGGGTGAACCAGGTCGACCATCACTATGCTATCACAAAGAAATAAGATTCCATTTAGAATTTTAGGGCATCCACAAGGAAAATTCCACTAAAGTCCCAGATTTCAGAAGGGCAAACTTTGATAGTTTGAAGAGGCAGCTGAGAGAAGGGGTATCACGCTTGGGGGTGAATTACATGACCTCACACAATGTACCCACAGAAGGTGACCTCACCTTACCTGGAGACCTGACGGTTGAGGATGACCTGATCACGAGATCTGAGGTTGACGAGTTCCACAACAATTTAAATAATGAGTTACTTAATGCACAAAGGCAGAACATACCATACAGAAAACTCAGATCAAACAACAATGACCCTAAATGGATAAATAATTATTTAAAGAATATTATTGGACAAAGGAAGGCTATAGGTAGGAGAATAAATCGTGATGAAGTTTACCTACAAGATTATTATAAGGTATTGGCCGGCAGGGTTAAGACCGAGATAAGAAAAGTAAAGAGACATAATGATCTGAAGGTAGCAAGGGAGGCGAAGTCAAACCCCAAGGGATTCTATCAAATGTATCAAACTAAAACACGAGAACAGATTGGACCAATACAGTCAGATACCGGCAAGCTAACTGATAACGACGGAGAAATGAGCAATAATCTGAATAAATATTTTTCAACAGTTTTCACCACCGAAAATTTAAATATGATACCCGGGGCACCGACTCTACACTGAGATAGTGAAGAAATAAATTAGGCTAGATAGTAGTGACTAGTAACGATGTTAGTAAGCAAATATACAAACTAAACCCTAATAAGTCACCAGGTCCCGATGAGATATTTGCCAGAGTATTAAAGGAATGTAAGGAAGAGCTTAGTATACCCTTGGCAAAGTTGTTTAACATGTCCTTAAAAACGGGTGTAGTACCATAATCCTGGAGGTTAGCGAATGTAATACCGATTTTCAAGAAAGGAGATAGATCACTATCCTCTAACTACCGTCCAATCAGTCTAACATCAATTGTAGGCAAATAACTGGAAGCAGTCATTTCAAACTATCCGAAATCACCTGGAGAAGCACAAGTTGAATTCAATGATTCCCAACATGGCTTCACAAGCGGGCGTTCATGTCTAACTAATCTATTGACATTCTTTTCATTTCTTTTCGAATCAGTGGACGAGGGGCACAATTATGACTTTAGTAAAGCCTTCGACAGAGTCCCCCACGAAAGACTAATAAGAAAAGTGGAGGCTCATGGCATTGAGGGAGATATTCTAAAATGGATTAGGGCGTGGTTACAGGACAGGAAACAGAGAGTGAGCATTAACGGCACTAAATCCGATTGGAGCAACGTCACTAGTGGAGTTCCCCAAGGCTCAGTACTTGGACCATTATTACTTATTATATACATAAATGACATAGATATCGGCGTCGACATCAACATAAGTAAATTTGCTGGTGACACTAAAATAGGGCGTGTAATTAAATCTGACGAGTACTCAGCAAACCTACAGGAAGATCTAAACAAATTTTTCGAATGGTCTAAAAAATGGCAGATGAAATTCAATGTGGACAAATGTAAAGTACTCAGCATAGGAGATGTAAACAGGGAAACCAGATACCAGATGAACAACGATGTTATTGAGAAATCCGGATGTGAGAAAGATTGAGGAGTAATGATAAGTAGGAATCTTAAGCCAAGTAAGCAATGTGTATTTCCTGGAAACAAGGCTTATAAAGTACTTGGGTTGATACAAATGAGTGTTAGTTACAAGATTAGCGAGGTCATCCTAAAACTATATCTTGTGCTTGTAAGACCTCACTTGGATTACGCAGTTCAATTCTGGTCACCGCATTACAGAATCCTTGGAAAGAATTAAGAGGAGAATGACAAGACTAATCCCGGGCATTAGGAACCTTGAGTACAAAGACAGGTTAAAGCATTTTAATTTGCACTCCCTCGAGAGACGAAGAGTGAGGGGCAATATGATAGAGGTGCATAAATGGATGTCAGGGCTAAACAAAGGGGGCATTACAAAGGAACTCAAACTATTTAACCAGGAGCGAACTCGTAACAATGGTTTTAAATTAGACAAATTTAGGTTTAGGCGCGAAATATGTAAACATTGGTTTGGAAATAGAGTAGTGGACGAGTGGAAGAAGTTACCAAATATTATCATTAACTCGAATACGCTGGATAGCTTCAAACACAGGTTGGGTAGTTATATGAGCAATTGGGGTTGGGTGTAAATGGGACTGCCCAGTAGGGTGTGTCATAAGGAGGCGAATTTTTTTGTTTTTAGTTTGAAAAATCGGCCCATGGTATTAATGATGTAGTTCTATGTGCAGAATCATGTGATATCTTCAGATTTGAAAAGTTTTCATTTTTTGCTAGGTAAATTTTAACTTGAAATCTTATGAAAATTCAGTATTCCCACCCTTTTACCAACACCACTAAATAGCTTATTTAAAGTAAAATCAGGTTAATTTATTAGGATGAAATGATCCAGAATAGTGAAACGAATGATCTTGACACATTTATTAAATTTAATATTCCTTTAGAAAACAAAATCATCAAATACAAAAACCGGTTTTACTACTACGACCCGGTAAAGTTGCTGCACCATAGAGAACATGTCTTTCTTGCTTCTGTTTCTACTCATCACTCCTTGCTGACCACCTGAGCTCGGATGTAGCCTTCCCTCCTCTCCTGGCTGTACACGTGACTGCTGGCCTCGGCTCACTTGCTGTACACAACGCCTGGGTGTGCGAGGGCCAGGCAGGGACACATGCATGGGGTTGTCCAGGAAAGCTCTGACTTGAACATTGGTGAGGCTGTAAGAGGGGGCTCACTGCCAGCCTGGATGTTATCCAGATCTATGAGATCAGTGAGGGTCTTGGTACCTAGATTGACTTCTCAGGAGTCTTCCTGACCCTGAAGGAATCGTCACCAACTGATTCGTCATGCCCAGATCCTCTCACAAGTCTCATATCCAAGATCTTTTTGACTGCCACTCTTCTCTCCTCCTCATCCTTACTGCAGAGCATTGTCTGCAGAACTGCCTCGGGATGAGCATACCAGGAAGATCTCCTCACAGTCTGCTCCACAATCTGAACAACCTTCCTTGGCTGACTCCTCAGGAGCTCAAGCTGGAAGAGAACATGCCTTGGACCTTCGGAGAACGATAACTTGACCTTGGTGTTGAACCAATTTGGCAAGTAGACACTCACGATGAATTGGACAATAAGTCTCAGGTTGTGAAGCTGGTTTCCTTTCAGTTTATGATGAGCGACCCAAATTCTGCAGAACCTGAGAGCCGTTGTGAGCCACCTAGAATGTGAGACTGGACCTATCTGCAGGTAAGCAAGTCTATCAGGCATGACCCCAGTTTTGATGGCACTGCAAATCATGTAACCATAGGACTGGTCAGTACTCAGGTCGTCAGTGACAGTATGTGCAAGCTCAACGAGTGGAGGGCCAACTGTGATTTTTTCAAAGCTCGGATTTATTTCTAACTCAGTGGCAGAGTCCAGCATCTTGCCAAGAGGACCAGACCATCTGTTGTTTGAAAGAGTCTCTGCCATCCAGCTCCTGGATCAGATGTCTGAGTAACTCTTGTGTGGAGGTCACAAACACCGCATCTCAGCTTTCCCTCCCAATCTTCCGCTGCTCTA